AATATTTAGCCTGCACATGAGAACATGTAAAAGAGTGGAGATTTGTTTTCTTTGAGTCTAAGAAGCGTTATTTTGGGAAATGTGGCTACCAGCTATTCCCTTTTTCCATTGTGGTCAGGTCCAGGAGGACTGGGTCTAAGTTACAGTGGGTGAGATGAAAGTTAAACAATCAATAGTCAAGTGTTTTGAGTGCTGACATTGTGTCACACTATATTAGCAGAAGGAAGAAATGCACCAGATATTGAGAGGTATGGACTCTGGGGCCGGCCAGTCTGGCTTTGAATCCTGGCTTCCGCACTTACTAGCTGTGGGACCTTGGAATAAATTACTTCTAAGCCTCGGTCACTGCATCCATAAAATGGAAATAATGTACCTGTTTCTGTGTAGGGTTATTTTTAAGATTTTGAAAGAGTTAATTAATATAGGGGCACCTAGGTGGCTCAATCCAGTTAAACATCTGACTCCTGATTTCAGCTCAGATCATGATCTCATGGTTCGTGAGTTCAAACCCCGCATCGGGCTCTGTGTTCTCAGTTCAGAGCCTGCTTGGGATTCTCTCTTTCTCCCTCTCTCTGCCCCTCCCCTGCTCGTGTGCCCGTGCACTCTCTCCCTCTCTCAAAAAAAAAAAAAAAGAATTGAGATTAGAAACCATTTCTGCAGATTCCTAGTACAGGGCTCTTTCCACTATTTGCCTACGTTTAAGAATACCCATTGCTTCAAAAGCATTTCTCTTTAGGTTTTTCTTCCATCCCCTCCGCAGAGCCAGTTTTTCTTGGGTACTTCTTATGTGGCAGCACTGTGCTAAATGCTGACATATGTGACCTTATTTAATCCTTACAGCAACCTGTGAAGGTGCTATTATTCCCATTTTTTTACAAGTGGAATCTGAAGCTCATAGAGGTTCAGTTACTTGCCCAAGGGTACACAGCTTCAAAGAGGTAGAACCTGGGTTAGAGCCCAGGCTGTCTGACTCCAGAACCTGCGTTCTTAACCGTGCCACAGGTTTTCCTCAGAATGTCTCAGTAGAGTCCAGATGTGCTGAATTAAACCACCTATTGCAGCAGCAGCCACAGGAGCCAGCCATAAAGATTTGAGGCCATTTTGTAATCCCTTTTCAACCCATAATCTGCTTTGTTTCCAGACCTAGGTCTCCTATGCATCCTTTTTCTGACAATGCTGTTAACAGAAGCAGGGTACCAAAAGAATTTCTCTCCCTGCTTAAGACTCTGAAGGTCGAGGGTCATGGAGCAGACCAAGAGAGGCCAGGACCAGAGCTTGTGGTTATCATGGCTCTGGGCAAGGTTGGGGTCACTGCCAGGAACCTAGTAGACCAGATAATATGGGTCAGATGTCAGAATTCCCATCTAGACCAGTGGTGCTTTACCTTTAATCCCTGTAAGACTCTCATGACAATCTTAAACTCCCTTCTTTTCAGAAAAATGCACAAGCTCACATGCCAAAAAAGTGTTTTCAGGTCGCCAGACCTAAAAACGCCCGTCTAAAAACCTCGGTACTAGGCTACAGAGTAGAGTATATGGCAGCATACTCTGGAGCTAGATAGCCTGGATTCAAAATCCTCTTCTCCTACTTACTACCTGTGCAACCTTGAGCCAAGTTACTTAGTGTCTTAGGCTTCAATTCCCTCAACTATGAAGTGAGGATAATACTATTTAATTACAGGATCGTTGTGAGGATTAAATGAGTTACTATATATAAAATGCCTAGTACACAGTTAGCTCTACAGCACTGTTCACTATTACTGCTAGTAGTACCTTGACCCATTCAGTAAATGTTTATGCATAGTGGGGACACCAAGTCTAAAGGAGAACATCCCAACAGGTGTGTCACAAGTAGGCTATAGTCATGTAAAAATGTTGACCCGCTCAGCCTTGGGGCTGCCAGAACCCCAGCTGGTTGCTCCTGGCTTCCAGTAGCAGCATCCGCCATATACAAATATCCTTCTCTCTGGGTGCCCTGATGTGAAAACAGTTTGGGCAGCACTAATTGAAATCAGTGAGAATCAAGTAGGCAGTCCAAATCCCAAGTCCAGGGGGTTTCTGTGGATGGGTGGCAATAAGAATCTTCACTGCTAAACCTAGAACAAGGCTTCATAAGTCTGGGCTCTGGCTCAAGTAGGCTGTATGCCAGTGCAAAGGAAGTCCTGCCAGCAGGACGCTACAGCACGTCCCTCCCTGCACACAAGGACCCGGTGAGTCACTCCACAAGGATTTGTGGAGAGCCCACAGTGAACCCAAAACCAGGCTGGGGCCCAAAGTCTTGTGTGGGCAACAAATGTTAAAGAGGTAGTGATAAGTACCGAAGTAGGCGACTCTAGTGTGAGTACCAGGAAGAGGTAGCGCCCAGGGCTGCAGGGATTTATCATGGCTGGGAGCCATGCTGACAAGGTGGAGTCCAAGGACCATAGCAAGCTACTCAAGAGTTTGATCAAGGAAGTAGCGGGTGTAGACTTGAACTTTTTTTTTTTTTTCTTTTTAAGGTTACTTATTTTGAGAGAGAGGGAGAGAGAATCCCTAGCAGGCTCCGCACTGTCAGCACAGAGCCTGAGGTGGAGCTGGAAGTCACAAACCATGAGATCATGACCTGAGCTGAAATCAAGAGTAGGATGCTTAATGGACTGAGCCATCCAGGTGCCCCTGTACTTTTTTTAAGGGCACTCTGACACAGTATTACAAAGTGAATAGGAAACAGGCAAGAGTTTATTTGAGGACATACTTAAGGAGGCTCTTAACAATGGTCAAGATGTGAGAGGTGATACTCACCTGAAATAGGTACATATACTTCTTAAGTTTTTTAAAATTGTTTTTAATTGAGGTGTAATTGACATACAACATTATACTAAGTTTTGGGTTGTAGAACATAGTGACTTAATATTTGTATATATTGTGAAATTATCACCACATTTAGTTTAGTTAATATCCCTCACCATACATAATTGCAGACTTTCTTTCTTGTGTTTAGAACTTTTAAGATTTATTCTCTTAGCAACTGCCAAATACGCAACACAGTATTATTATTAACTATGGTCAATCATGCTATACATTACATCCCCGTGATTTACTTATTTTATAACTGGAAGTTTGTACCTTTTGACTCTCTTTATCCATTTTGCCCACCCCGGACCCTTGCCTCTGGCAACCACCAATCTGTTCTCTGTATCTATGAGTTTGGGTGTTTGGGGTCTTTTTTTTTAAAGACACTTCTGAGTTAGCTCATACGGTATTTGTCTTTGACTTACTTCACTTAGCATAATACTGTCTAGGTCCATCCATGTTATTACAGGTGGCAAGATTTCCTTTTTTTATGGCTAAATAATATCCCATTTTATATATGCTCCACATTTTCTTTATCCATTCATCCATCCATAGACACTTAAGTATTTTCCATGTCTTGGCTATTGTAAATAATGCTCGATGCTTTTATTTTTTTTGAAGTTAGTGTTTTTATTTTCTCTGGATAAAAATCCAGAAGTGGAATTGCTGGATCATATGGTAGTTTTATTTTTAATTTTTTGAGGAAGCTCCATACTGTTTTCCACTTTATACCAATTTCCACTCCCACCAACAGTGCACAAGGGTTCCGTTTTCTCCACATCCTTCCCAACGCTTGTTATTTTGCGTCTTTTGATAATAGCCATTATAACAGGTATGAAGTGAGATCTCATTATGGCTTTGATTTGCATTTCTCTGGTGATTGGGGATGTCGAGCATCTTTTTATGTACCTGTTGTCCATCTGGATGTGTTCTTTGGAAAAATGTTTATTCAGGTCCTGCCCTTTTTTAATCAGATTGTTTGGTTTCTTGGTGTTGACTTATATAAGTTCTTTATTTTGGGTATTAACCCCTTATTGGATATATGATTTGCAGATATTTTCACCCATTTGGTAGGTTGCCTTTTCATTTTGTTGATGATTTCCTCTGCTGTGCAGACACTTTTTAGTTTGATCCAGTCCCACTTATTTATTTTCACTTTTGTTGCCTTTGCTTTGGGTGTCAGACCCAAAAAAATTAGAACCAAGACCATGTCACGGAGCTTATCACCTATGTTTTCTTCTAGGAGTTTTATGGTTTCACGTCTTGCATTCAAGTCTTTAATCCATTTTGAGTTAATTTTTGTGTATGGTGGCAGATAGTGGTGTATCGAGATTTTTGAGGGAAAAGGAAGAATCAAGGATGACCCCACCGATTTTGGGTGGGCAGAGATGCCAGTCCAGGCATAGGGAATACTGGAAGGGGAACAGTTCTGGGGAGCCCATTGTGAGTTCTGTTGGGGACTCATTCTGTTAGTGATGCCTGTGAGATATTCACTGATGATGGCCAGCAAGGCCAGTGGATGGATAGATCTGAGCGTGGGAGAGATGTCGGAATGTGTAGAGAGAATCAGCAGCTTGGGGTTGGCAGCCTGCCTTCAATGGGGCTTCCTTCTGAGGAGAGTGAATTTAAAGATGGGTTTCGACTGGACCTGGGTGACTCAGTCAGTTAAGTGTCTGACTTTGGCTCAGGTCATGATCTCACAGTTCGTGAGTTCAAGCCCCACTTTGGGCTCTGCACTACTGGTGCAGAGCCTGCTTAGGATTCTTGCTCTCTCCTCGCTCTCTGCCCCTCCCCCATTCATTCTTTCCCTCTCTCAAAATAAATAAGTAAACTTCAGAAAGAAAAAAAAAAGTGGGTTTTACAAACAGTTTGGTGTGCTTCTGTTGTGTGCTCAACTTTAAGAATTCTTAAATAGGTATGTTTTGAACCTTCTTCATAAAAAACCAACACGGTTGTATACTTGGAAGAATTCATCTCTTTTTCTTCTTGGCTGGCCTCATCCACTCTTTCCTTGTAGATCCTTGTAGCAGGAGGAAGGTATACAACTCATAATTTGACTGTCCATTTTCTCAGACTTGTGACCCAGAAGGAAATCTCTGACCTCAGCTGTGGCTCTTGGTGCTGGCCAGAAGCCAACTTCATGTCTGAGTATACAAGTAGCAGTTTGCCATGGAGAGCTTGGGGCTGCAGACGGTGACCCTCAGTGATGGGACGACAGCCTATGTCCAGCAAGCTGTCAAAGGTGCGTATTTCCAGGTACCTCAGAATCCTGCCCTTTCCCCCAGCCTCTGGAGAGGAGTGTCCCCTTCTAAGAGTCTTACCCCCACTCTGTCCTCCCACCTGCATGCCACAACTGACTCTGCATGAGGATTTCTTGAGGTAATTGGCAAAAAGGGAACGCTTTAAAATAAAGTGCCATCCAGGCAGGCCAGCCTAGAAAATCAGACTAGCCCAGCTGCAGCAACCAAGACCTCTGGAAGGCAGGATTCCTTACATGTGAAGAGTAGTTCATAAAACCTGTGGAAACGAATGAACACAGTGGTGGTTATAACTTCCTGCTCTTCAGATAATTCCCTGTCCAGTTTCTCAGTACTTTCTAGAAGCAGTTTATTTTATTTCAAGCAAGGTTAGGTACAGAGGGGGACACCCAGTTATAGATCTCATGCCTTAGGCCCCACTCAGGTTTCCAGGAATAAAAATACGGGGTATACCATTGAATTTGAGTTGCAGATAAACAGGAGCCTGGATGGCTCGGTCATTGAGCGTCTGACTTTGGCTCAGGTCATGATCTCGTGGGTCACTGAGTTCGAGCCCCGTGTGGGACTCTGTGCTGACAGTTCAGAGCCTGGAGTCTGCTTCAGATTCTGTATCTCCCTCTCTCTCTGCTCCTCCCCCACTTGCACTCTTTCTCTCCCTCTCTCTCTCAAAAATAAATAAAAATATTTAAAAAATAAAATAAAAAATTTGAATTACAGATAAACAATGAATAATTTGGTAGTACAAGTATGTACCAAATACTGAATGGGATGGATATTTGTAAACATGGGACAGAATACTAAAAATAGTAAAATAGGGGCACCTGGGTGACTCCATTAATTAAGCATCCAACTTCAGCTCAGGCCATGTGGTTTGTGAGTTTGAGCCCCATATCAGGCTCTCTGCTATCACTGCAGAGCCCGCTTTGGATCCTCTGTCCCCCTCCCCTGTTTGCGCATGCTTGCTCTCTGTCTCAAAAATAAATAAATATTTAAAAATAGTAAAATAATAACACTAAACACTAAAAAAAAAAGACTTTATTGTTTATCTGAAATTTGGATTCACCTGAAATTCAATTCTCAAGGAACTGAAAATCAAGGTGGACATGGAGTGAGAACTGACTGCCATTGAAGGGCAGAGCCTATGCACAGTCATGACAGCCTCCTTTCCCACCTGCATTCTCAGGCCCACCAGATGGCCTGCCTTGGACAGCACTGGGCAAACATTGCCTTGTTCCTACCCTTTATTTTGCCTCTTCTAGACTCTGTGATTGGCGGGGGGACGCCTGGGTGGCGCAGTCAGTTAAGCATCCAACTCTTGACTTCAGCTCAGGTCATGATCTCATGGTTTGTGATTTCGAGCCCCACATTGGCTCTGTACTGACAGTAAGGAGTCTGCTTGGGATTGTCTCCCTCTCTCTGTGCCCCTCCCCCACTTGCTCTCGCGCATGCGAGCGCACTCTCTCTCAAAATAAATTTAGACTCTGTGAACATCCTCATGAAGGACTGTCATTACAACATCACCCTCCTTCGTTTCAATACATTGTGAAAGTGTGTTTTAATTTCCAAGTGTACAGATAAATTGTTTGTTAATTTTATTTTAAATTGTCTGCTTCCTGATGACGACAAAGAGGCCCCTTAATCTCATCAGCAAGCTCTTTCCATATGACAATATGGGGGGAAGGGTTGCCTTCTGGAAAGGTTGTTTGTCAAGAACTGTCTATGATGTGTGGGTCTGGTTGGCTTTGTTTTCTGGAGAGTGGAACTTGTCTGGAATATTTTTTTTTTTTTTAATGTTTATTTTTTAAAGAGAGCACAAGCAGAAAAAGGGCAGAGAGGTGGGGACAGAGGATCTGAAGCAGGCTCTGTGCTCACAGCAGAGAGTCTGATGCGGGGCCTGAACTCACGAACTGAGATCATGACCTGAGCCAAAGTTGGACACTTAACCAACTGAGCCACCCAGGTGCTCCTGTAATACCTTTTTTTTGTTTGTTTGTTTGTTTAGAGTTTATTTATTTATTTTGAGAGGGAGAGAAAGCACAAGTCGGGGAGGGGCAGAGAAAGAAGAGAGAGAATCCCAAGGCAGGCTCCATGCTGTCAGTGCAGAGCCCAATGTGGGGCTTGAACCCACGAACCATGAAATCATGACCTGAGCCGAAGTCAGATGTTCAATGGACTGAGCTACCCAGGTGTGCCTGGAATACTTTTGAAGCCCAAAACTGTGTGTTTGCAGACTTCCCATCACAGATGTTGCCCCTCCGCTACAGTCTCAGTGGGATGGAAGAACTTAGGAAGTATAGACATGGCTGTGGCTGCTGCACAGACCCAATTATTTCTCGTGACTTGGTCTTCTGCTATGAATTAATGGTCGAGTGAATGAATAAAAAGCAAGTGGCCGCACTTGGCCTGAAAAAGCCACCCTCTTTTCTTATGTCTGGGTCTCTTTGCCTCCCCCACCTCCCCATTTATAGCTTTCTCCCGTCCCTGTTCTCTGGCTCCTGCACGGTGCTGCAATGTGTGCACGTGTGTGTACGCAGACTCACACACAACAGATTGCACACTCCTGAGGGTCGCGCTGGCCTTCTGGAGCTGGAACCACACTGTTCTAAAAGGCATCTCTCTCCCTGGTGAGCTCCTCTGAAGCTCTTGACCAGGGTGCTTTCATCTTTGTTGGCAGGCAGCTCCTTCTGAGTCCAGCTTAGGCAGCAGGAAGCCCTGAAATTTTATGAGACTTATCTGTAATTAGGGTAGGCATAAAACGTGTTATTCAGGCCCAACACTTTTGAGGGTGGAAGAGTGTGCTATGAATAAAAATGCACTGAAACCGTTCCAGGCAAACAGGAACATATGGTCACCTCTCCATAATGGGATATGAGGTGGGATGTGAACTGCTCTCCCTGCCCCTGGCTCTCCCCATTGTTGTCTCTGGTATGAGAGGTGATTCTAGGTTGAAACCTTTTCTCCAATAACTCTCCTCAACCTTTTGTCTCCTGCCTTGAAGCAATAGCCACTGTACTAGCAGAAGTTCTGCTAATGCTCTCAGAACCCCAAGTGCGGTGCCCTTGCCACAACAGATAAAGTGTTAGATGCGGGGAAGCCCATGGCTTCCTGGTGGAAGGGAAGTGGGGGATCCCACTCCCTCACCCTAACTGCCTTTCTCCTACTTCTTACCTTTGTCTCTGCCTTACCTGCCTTTGGCTGGCTTGTAGAACTATTGGTTACAGACCCGAGAAGACTCAGTGTGGAGGCAACTTTGGGGATTCTTCTGACGGGGGAGGCAGCAGAGAGTTGGGCCAGAAGCAGCTGCCTCATCCTTTTCCCACATCATAAGAACTCAAATTCCTAAACCTGAAGCTCGGGAAGAAAGGAATAAGCAAACCACTTGGCATGAACTCTTCCCTATCCCTTCCTCCCTTTCTCACTCTTTCCCCCTCGTCCCCTTGGAAATTCACTGGACGTGAGGAGAGGCCTAATTCTACTTCTAAACAGAAGAGTTCGTTGCTCTTAGAGGTGCTCCCCAGTAAGTATCTGAGATAACAGATGGGAAATATCTCAGGAACTCTGGAGTCTTGCTACATTCTATACTGCTTGCTGGTTGCCTTAGGTGAGTCGGGTTTGTTTTTCTTTTTATAAGAAAATTGAAAGGAAAATGTCAGAGGTCAGGGCGCCTGGGTGGCTCAGTCAGTTACTCATCCAACTCTTGTTCTCAGGGTGGTGAGTTCAAGCCCTACACTGGGCTCCACACTGGGTGCGAAGCCTACTTGAGAAAAGAAGAAAAAATGTCAGAGGTGAATGAAGGAGACATTCCCCACAGCAGCAATGGAATAAGACCTAGAGGATACACAGTAGCATGACAGCTGCATTCACACATAAGCTCCCTGTTGCTTTATTTTCTGTTCCTTCAAAAATGCAGATTGGGTTTATGATGATAAAAACAGACTTACTGAGGGCTGACCATGTTCCTGTCACTGTCTTCTACTCATTAACTCATTTAACCCTCACAGCAACCCAGTGAAGACACAGTTTTTAATCCTCATTTGAAGAGAAGGAAACTAAGGCACAGAGAGGTTAAATAAACTGTCTAAGAACACACAGCTATTAAGCTGTTAAGAGGCAAAGCTGAAATTCAAACCCAGGAGGCCTGGACAGTTCCAGAGCCATTTGCTTTTTTTCTTTTTTCTTTCTTTTTTTTTATTTCTTTATTTTGAGAAAGAGAGTGCATGCAGGTAAGCACGCATTATCAGTGCAGAGCCCTACTTGGGGCTCGAACCCACGAACCAGGAGATCATGACCTGAGCTGAAACCAAGACTCGGATGCTTGACCGACTGAGCCATCCAGGCGCCCCCAAAGCCTCTTGCTTTTAACCACTAAGCTATACTGCCTTATTAGAAGGTCTAGTTCTGGGCATGGTGCCACAGTGGCAGACGAGGAATGTATTTTTCAGGGCATTCTTTGTTCTCTAGATCAGTCTCAGAAACTTACTACTAGGTTGGAAGTCCCCACTTCACCGGGCATGGATAGAATAATAAATGAAGTTGCTCCTCCTTGAGTAAGAAGAAAGGATTCTGTTGGAAGCTGTTAGGTTCCTCGTGGTGAGATGTCTTCATGTGTAGTACCTCTGGGGCCCAGGCCCAGGGAGGCAGGGAGCAGGGGACATGTTACCTGTGCTTAGACAGGCAGACTATGCCTCAAGCAGGCCTCTTCTAGAAGCAGGCAGGTGTCCCTCCCACCTCTTTGGGGCCTAATCTCCTTCTCTCCATTTCCACCTTCACAGGAGAGAAGCTGCTTGAAGGGCAGGTGATCCAGCTCGAGGATGGGACCACTGCATACATTCACCAAGTGACGGTGCAGAAAGGTGAGAGCACGCCAAAGCACCTCTGCCGGATGGAGGGAGGCCAGGCAGCCCCCACTGAGGGACCCTTCCCAGGCACCAAGCTCCAGAGAAAGGCAAGCATTGCTCTCATTACAGAACCTCTTTCCTTTGAGGATGGACAACCTGTGCAGCTGGAAGATGGCAGCATGGCCTACATACACCGCACACCCAAAGGTGGGGTCACAGTCACCGTGAGTGGCAGGAAGGGAGGGTGGCATAATTGGCAGAGATGGGGCTATAGTCCTAAACTCACCTGGATTAGCTGTCTCGCCTACCCTCCCTGAATGCTGCAAAGCTGCACCTTCCCTGGTCCAGACTATATCAGCGGCTGTTTCTGCCTCTGCGGAAGCCCCCAGGCCTCGGGGCTCAGCCAGCATCAGACTCAATAGCAGCTTTAGCTCTAGCACAGCCACAAAGTCTTAGGGCTTTAAACAGGACCCAAGGACATGATCCAAGACCAAGAATAAAAACTTAACTGACATTTAAGACTGAAGCCTCTGGGGCGCCTGAGTGGCTCAGTCGGTTAAGCGTCCAACTTCGGCTCAGGTCATGATCTCACTGTTGGTGAGTTCGAGCCCCGCATCAGGCTCTGTGCTGACAGCTTGGGGTCTGGAGCCCACTTCACATTCTGTGTCTCCCTCTGTCTGTCCCTCTGCCACTTGCACTCTGTCTCTCGCTCTGTCTCAAAAATAAATATTAAAAAAAAAAAAAAATATGAAGCCTCTAAGGTAATGAGGAATAACGGTTTATTCCTTCTACAAGTAGTTTCTTGAGCAAGTACTGCATGCCAGGCATTGTGCTAGGTGTGGAGTGTACAAGAGAGGACAAAGGCAGACACAGTCCCTGCTCTTCTAGAGTCTAGTGTAGGAAACAGAAGTGAGACATGCTGTCACCAATGAACAGATCATCCCAAGTGGAGATCCAGCTCAGGGAGGGCTTCTCTGAGGAAGTGATGCTTGGGCTGAGAGCTAAAGGGTAGACTTAGCTGGGGGAAGAGGGATGGCAGGGAGGGTTCTGTACTCCCAAGAGAAGGAAGGAACAGCGTGTGAGGCTCAGAGATGGGAGGAGGAAGAATGTCATGTTTGAAGGAACTGCTGAAGGCCAGAAGGTAGAGGAGGGGGGTGGGTAAGATGAGAGAGGCGGGGGCCAGTGCACTGGGCCTTGCGTGTCAAGATAAGGGCTTTATTGTTGGTCTTTATCCTGAGACCAGTGGGAAGTGGTTGAACCATCTGATAACACGATCTCATATGTGTCCTGCAGAGATCCCTCTGGATGCTGTGCTGCCTGGAGGGAATTAGAGGAGGTGATGTTAGGAGGTTCTTAGGGTCATCTAGGCCAAGATGATGATGGTCCCCTCAGGTCCTCATGGACCTTGTGAGTTCCCAGTCAGTGCCCCATAGGAGACCTTGTCCTCAGGAGAGGTGGCCCCAGAAGGAGGGCCAGCCAGAGTGAATCACCAAGGTGAAGGACCAGGAGATGCTGAAACCTTCCTTGGTATATGTACCTCTCGTTACCTTAAAGCCAGGGTCCCAGCTGTATCTCTTGCCTTTGTGCAGCATCTGGGCTAACCGCGTGTTCCCTGCAGAGGGCTATGACCCCAGTGCCCTGGAGGCCGTCCAGCTGGAAGACGGCTCCACTGCCTACATTCATCACCCTGTGGCTGTGCCGTCAGACAGCGCCATCCTGGCCGTGCAGACAGAGGTGGGCTTGGAGGACCTGGCTGCAGAGGACGATGAGGGCTTCGGCGCAGACACAGTGGTGGCCCTGGAGCAGTATGCCAGCAAGGTGAGCTCACAAAGCCTGATGCTGCCCATCAGCTCCCTTGGCCAAAACTGCCACCACCCTAGGGGACGAGGGCCATCCTGTGCTTGGGCATGGCCTGAGCTACCCCCTTTGTCCCTCCACCCTGCCTCCCTGACTCATCTCTCACATCACCATCCAGGGTGTGCATAACATGGGGCCACCAACAGCTGTTGACACTTGCCCTGGCTTATGATGCTTCTGCAGAGGGAAGGCGGCTTTAAGAATTGGTGCCGTCTGTATAGTGGCAATTTAGACCCAGCTTCACTTTTGCTGTTGTAATAATCCTCTGTACTGAGAATGCCCTTGCCCGTGACTTTTAATAGTTTTCCAGGCCACTGAGGTCAGATGTTCTGGTATTTATTTCTTCTCTGCAACTCACTTAGCCATTTGGAAAAATAACCTCAGTAGGCAACGACAAGGGCAGATGCAACAGAGCACCTGAGCTTCTTGGAACACAAGGCCCACACAGTAGCTTAGCTGTGAGGGAAAAGGATCTTGGCTCTCCCAGTGTCAACAGTCAGCGCTCTCTCCGTGGGAGCTAGGGTCCTGCCCATGGGGGAAGAGGGCACAGAGATCTCTGAGCATGCCAAACTGGAGTGCAGCCTCGCTAGAATGAGCTGTAGAGCCTCAGGGTGGACACAGTGGGGCTCCCTGGAGCACTAGTGTTACCCAAAGACTGGGGTGAGTTGTTTTTATAATAAAACTATGTGGCTGTGTTAAAGGAGAAGAAATTCTCTTGTCTTTTCAAAATGAAGCACAAAAGTTTAGAGCGGACCACTTAGGGCTATGCCCACTCCTGCCACCGTTCCCTGTGGTGTATTTTAGAAGCCATATTTGAGACTTGCTGCTGTTAGAAAGACAGCTGGGCTTTGAGTCATGAGCCCTGAGATCCATGCTGGCTCTGCCTCTGCCTAGTCTAACCTTGAGCAAGTCATTCCACTCCTAGGCCTCAGCTCGTTCCTCTGGGAGGATGAGATAGAGCTAGATGACTTCAGAGGTCACTTCCAACCCTGAAGTTCCTTGATTCCCTTGAGAGCAAGTGAGACATGGGAAATCCAAACACCTGAGTGGGTTAGCCTGCCAAGCAGGCCTGGCTGCCTGTGACACTCCCCCACCACTCACCAGCTGCTTAAGTGTCCATGAAATTTTGTCATCTGCTTGACCTCCAGACCTGGAGCTGACTAGACAGACCTTGCCATGAATTTGGCCTCACCCATCTGCCCCCTACTCCCCATAACTTCCAGAGTTCTGTTTCGGGTGCTCCCGGGAAGGCCAAAGTGTCCCAGAAACAAATACTAAGGGACACTCCCTACAGGATCTGGCCCAGAAAAGCAGAAGAGCAGTGAGGGCTCCCTGAGGCCCGAGGCTGGTGTGAAGCAGGTGGCTTTAGCAATGTTCCCAGTAGACATGACAGAGAAGGACTTGCCCGTCAGCTGGGGGCTATAGTTAGAGCTTAGACTTCTGGCGAGGACCTGCAGGCCCCTGCCTTGGCCTGCCCTGGGCACTTCTGCAGCTTGCTGCTTATGGTCACCTCACTCTGGTGAGCCCAGGTGAGTTCATCCCCACAGCAGGCCCCTTGTGAATGCCCGTTCTGAGCACAGGTTTCCCACTGGGAGGGAGGGGTCTCCTCCCATCAGAGGATAACACTGTCCAGAACTGTGGCCTCTGAAGTGTGTGTGGCCAAAAGTGGGGGCTGCTGAATCTCAGCCTCACTCGGGGGTGGCCTGAAAGGCCACCTTACCCTAGTTGTCTAGGGGATGCCCTTTCTTCCATAGCTGTCATGCCCCTGTGACATTTAGCCCTCCCTCTATCTATTAGGGAGGTGACTTCACATGCCAGCCCTGTTTGTTCTGTAGGGTGCTTCATTGTGTATTTCCTGTCTGTCTGGATCTGTCATCCCAGGTTGCCCTTCTCCCTCTGGCAGGTTTAACCCTATTTATTGGGTTATGAGCTGTCAGCTGGGCCCTATATCCTACCTCTTCCCTCTCATCATTGAAGAGAGAGAATACATACAGGAACCTCAAGATTTTTTTCCTCAGGTTCTGCATGACAGCCAGGCTCCCCATAACGGCAAAGGACAGCAGGTTGGGGACAGAGCATTCCGCTGCGGCTACAAGGGCTGTGGGCGTCTCTACACCACTGCTCATCACTTAAAGGTAAGGTTGTCACACACAGCTTTCAGCCTTGCTGTTCCCCCCTGCCCCGCCCAGGCTGTAATTTCACCTTCCTGTGTTAACTAGAACGAGTCCTTGCTCTCGAGTTTCTCACTGGCTACTGGAAGGAAGGTATGAGTGTACAGAAATGTCAGCCCAGGGGCCTGTGACACACATGTGCAGGAAGGAAGAGAATCAGAGAGTGCCCTCTGGAGGAGGTGGCCTCTCAGCTAAAGAGGCAAAGTAAAGGTAGTGGCCAGTACTGATGCTCTGAGCCCTAAAGAAAACCAAAGAGCATATTCCTACCCTCGTCCCTCTGAATCCCATGGTTGCTTGTCCCCACAGGTGCATGAAAGAGCTCACACGGGTGACCGTCCGTACAGGTGTGATTTCCCCAGCTGCGGAAAGGCCTTTGCCACAGGTAACTTACCTGGAAGAAGACTAAAGGTGGCCTGCTTCCCGTTGAGGACAGAGAGTTCTAGATTTGCTTTGGGAATTTCCTGCCTTCCTGGAGAGACTGCTGTCAGAGCACTCTGTCTTGTAGGGTGCCGTCTCTGGAAGAAACCCGGTTATGGAAGTGAGAGGCAGCATAAGCCAGGCCAGCCAAAGGAGCCTGGGGGCTTGGTAGAGAGACCCCCGCCTCTTGCATCAGCTGTGGGGTATTTGGTCCATTGCATCTGTCCGGCCTTCATTTCCCCTCTGAAACCTTTAGCCGTAGCTCTCAGACCCTTGTTCTAGACTGGCACTGGCTCCCCTGAAGAGGAAAGTGTGGGCTTTTCTAGCCCCTCTTATGTGCCCAGGCTGGGTTGGGAGAGAGGTCGACATAGGCTTCTTGTGCCTGAGGAGGGCTGGAGCAGACCTTAAGGTGGAGAACCTCTGAATTAGGATAATGAGGGGGATGAGGCCCCACAGAGCCTCTTCTCATCCCTCCCTCCCACATGTGGACAGGATATGGGCTGAAGAGCCATGTGCGCACCCACACTGGTGAGAAGCCATATAAGTGCCCAGAGGAGTTGTGCAGCAAGGCCTTCAAGACCTCAGGAGACCTGCAGAAGCACGTCCGGACCCACACTGGTAGGCTGGGCCCTGCCCTGTTCACATTTGGACCTGGAGCTCCTCACTCTGGCACAACCTCCCTTCCTGAGCGGTCCCCCTCACCCACCCCATTTCCACAGGTGAACGCCCATTCCGATGCCCCTTTGAGGGCTGTGGCCGCTCCTTCACCACATCAAATATCCGCAAGGTACATGTGCGCACCCACACAGGCGAGCGGCCCTACACCTGCCCCGAGCCCCACTGTGGCCGGGGCTTCACCAGCGCCACCAACTACAAGAATCACGTGCGCATCCACACAGGTGGGCCAGCTGGCATGCGAGAAGCACCCCCTCTGAGGCCCCAGCCCCCTCAACCACAGGCTTTCTGACCTGAGAAATGGTCTCGGCTCCTAGCCCAGAGCCCTTCTGCTGGCCAGTCCAGGCTGGCCCATGGGCGGGGAGAGGGGGTTCTGTGGTTCCGGCCATATCTCCAGAACCACGGTCTCACTTGAAGTGAGCGGTTCCTCCCTGGTTAAGTCCAACATACAGCTAGCTCTCTCAGCTCCCTGCCTGCTCCCCACACCTGAGCCCTTGGGGAAAGGCCAGGGTCAGTCGTGAGGGGGGAAAAGCAGAGTGAAATGTCACCCTACCTCCTCACCGCCTCCACTGTCCATATGACTCCTGTGTATCCTCACCCTCCCCAGTGTCACATCCCTCATCCAGCCTTCTGTGTCACCTCTCGGCCACATGTGTCCCCTCACTTTCCCATCACACCTGATAACATCGGTTACCCCCATCTCCTGCCTCTTCTGTTGACAGCCTTCAACTTTCCAAGCCCCCAGCGGCCCCCGCCAGTGCCTTCACTCACCCAGCCTTCCCTCATCTCCCCATTTTCTCCCTACCTCATCTCTGGGCTCAGTGGTCCCACACTTCTGTCCCCTCTGTGTTCCACTGGCCATTATCTCCAGCTGTGTCTTTTCAGAGTCCTGGGTGTCAGTCCCTCTCCCTCCCTCTGGCTCCCGCTCCACCAGCCCTGTTTCCCTCTCCCATCCCCTTAGTTTTCCCCTTGCCAGCCCCAGTTCCCACCCCCCTCACAGCTCAGTGTCCCCAGGGGAGAAGCCATACGTTTGCACGGTACCAGGCTGCGGGAAGCGCTTCACCGAGTACTCGAGCCTGTATAAGCACCATGTGGTGCACACACACTGCAAGCCCTACACCTGCAGCACCTGCGGCAAGACGTACCGGCAGACCTCCACCCTGGCCATGCACAAGCGCAGCGCCCACGGCGAGCTGGAGGCCACGGAGGAGAGCGAGCAGGCCCTTTATGAGCAACAGCAGCTCGAGGGTGAGGGGTGTGGATAGGAGGTGAGAGTGGGGACAAGCCAGGCCTCCCGCGGCCACCGGGTGGCAGATGTAAGCCTGGGCTTTCCTCTCCTAGCCGCGTGTGCAGCCGAGGAGAGCCTGCCACCCAAACGACCGCGCATTGCTTACCTTTCGGAGGTGAAAGAAGAAGGTGATGCCATCCCAGCCCAAGTGGCCATGGTGACCGAGGAGGACGGGGCCCCCCAGGTGGCTCTGATCACTCAGGATGGTGCCCAGCAGGTACAGGCCCTGGGGTAGGAGTGCGGTGGGCCGCTCTGGTTGGTTCTCTCTCTCTCTCTCTCTCTCTCTCTCTCTCTGTCTCTCTGGGGAGTCCCGAAGTTCTGACAGCCCCACCTCTACCCAGTTTCTCTTTTTAGCCTTGTGGATCTCAGGGAGCTGAGGCTGAGGATAGCCAGTCTTGTAAGCCAGCCTCTTCTCCTCATGCTTTCACCTCAACCTCTGGAACTTTGAGAGCGCAGTTACTAGCTTCCCCTTTACATGGAGGCTGACAGGTCCTGATCGTCTGAGTGAGACACTTGGATATCCTTCTCAAGAGAAGCATGTTGATGTGGGGGCCAGATCGTGGCGTGGGGTCTGGAAGCTAGAGTTTCTAGCCAGCAGTATAACATGACCCTTGTCAGCACCCTCACTGTTAAGTGCACTTCTGTCTTTTGGAGTTGACATGAGGATTAAATTGGGTCGAGACCCCAAACTGCATGGAGCAGAGCCCCAAGGCAAAGTAGTGGTAAATAGAAGTGGCCAGCTTTTTGCAACCTGAGACCGGTTTTACTCGCTTGTCCCTGTCCCCCTACACCTCTATAACTTGAAGCTAATTGGCTAGCTTATTGGTGAGTTACCCTTGTCTGGGAGAGCAGGTATGTCCACCTAGGGGCTTTCACACAACCTTCCGCTGCACTGCCAGCTCATCTTCCTTCCTATCGGCAGGTCAGCCTGTCCCCGGAAGACCTGCAGGCCCTGGGGAGCGCTATCAGCATGGTGACCCAGCACAGCAGCACCACCCTCACCATACCCAGTGAGGACGATGACCTTGCCACATCTGGCACACATACGGTCACCATGGTCAGCGCTGATGGCACGCAGACGCAGCCCGTATGACCAGGCGGTTTGCTTGGGGTTTCTTGTTCTCTTGTCCTTCCTTTGTGTGGGGTGGGTGTTACGGTGCAGGCTGACTTAGTCATGCCTTCTTTACAGGACCAAGACTCCCCCCGCGGCTCCTCTGGGCCATCAGCAACTCTCCTCTTGAAAAGCGTTTCACGGGGGGTCATGAGACAGTTTCTAAATCTTGATCTACTTCTAATTTGCTTGGCTTTGCTATCATGGGCAAGTCACTTTTCCATGGACCAGTCCATTTCCAAATGAGGGGATTAAATGATCTTTGGGCCTTTGACAGCTCTAACCTTCTATGATTCAAAAATCCCTAAATTAAGTTGCCTGTAAGAGAAAAGTACCATCTCACTAAGCTCTGAGCCCTGTGCTAATTAATCTGACCTATAGTGGTTTTATCCATCCCTTTCTGGCTTGTTCCTAGCCACCTTGCTTAAGACATTTTTATTTGGATAGGGGGAGGGAGAGTAATGTAGGTGGATTAGGAAAACCTTCTTTTATATTTCAGGTTACAATCATTACCTCTGGGGCTGTGGTGGCCGAAGACTCTAGTGTAGCATCCCTTCATCACCAACAGGTGGCACTGTTGGCCACAGCCAACGGGACGCACATTGCGGTGCAGGTGGGTGTAGAGGTCCAATACCCTGAGAAAGGAATAAGGATGGGAGGGAAATGAATGAGGTGGAGATGTTGAAGAGAAGGGCATTCGGCTCAAAAAGAGCTCATTTCAGAAGACAAATCCCTTTCTGCCTGCATCCACACACCTGTCTCAGGCTCTTTCTTGACTGAAGCAGAGTGGTGAAGCCCCCTCTGGCCTTTAGAATAATTTCAATGGCAACACACGTGGTCGTCTAAACCCCTTGTCTCTCCGTGTGTCTGTTTCTTCATCAGGAAAACAAGTGGGGCTAAAGTAGATGATGACTAAGGTCCCCTCCAGCCAGTCATTCCCTTCTGTGATCAGGCCCAACTCTCTGACCATGGACCATTCTGTGGCTCCCTGGCCACGCTTAGCCTGCTAGGACTCTAGTCCATGAACTTCCTGTTAATTGGGGCCCTACTAACTGCTCAGGATGTGGCACTGAGTGGATGGAGGGGATTCAGAAAAGTAGACACTAGACTGTAGTGGGGAGTGTCTCATTCTCTCCTTCCTTCATCCCCTTCTCCACAGCTGGAGGAGCAGCAGACCTTAGAGGAGGCCATCAGTGTGGCCACCGCTGCCATGCAGCAAGGGGCCGTGACCCTGGAGGCTACAGAGCCAGAGAACGGCTGCTGAGTCCCAGGGGACTGGGTCCCACACCGTGTTGGAGGAGGTGCCATGCCACACAGGCATCCTTGCTTCCAAGAGCCCGGGCTGTGGCTGACACATAGAAGGTGGCCACATAGGTCTCCAGGGTGAGAAGGCGACAGGAAAACAGCCTCACTGAAGGGTCCAGGGGCCCTGCCCAAGAGGAAGACCGAACAGCTGGAATCGGGGGAGTGTGTCATCCTCAGGAGCTAAAGAGGACGAGCTGGTCACCAGGCTGCACTGGGGCATCCTCCCCTCAGAATCAGCTGGGTGCCCACCCTCCTTCCTCCAGAGAACAACCTTCCTGCCCTCAGTCCACTCCCCTTCTCAGGCGGCAATTGGGACTGCTGTGGGGACTGGTCCTCTATTCTGACTGGTCACTGCCCACCAGGGGAAGGGGCAGACAGCTCTTCAGCCCAGTAGGGGCAGAGCAGGCTCAGCCCTGCTCCTCCCAGCAATATCCACCTCCCTGGAGGACTGCCAAGATGCCTGGCCATTTGGTAGCAGGGATTTCCTGCCATCATAGTCAGAATTGCTCAGGGGCCTGTGGCTGGAGAAAAGGTGGCCAGCCCCACCCGCCCCCAGTTGCCCCCTGTCCTCTCTGTGGCAGAGAGGCAGGGAATTAGCCCTGTACATACTGGGGATTGGGTTTCATTTGTTTGGTTTGGTTTTTTAAAATTCCATTTTGATAATTTTTTTTCCTGCTCTGGTTGGTGGTGGCAAATGGGTGAATGAGTATTTAATAAAGTTCCAAGTTTCCACCTGGGTCCCTCCCTCCCTCCTTTCAGCTTTGGTCTCTGGTTCCAGGACTGGTCAAATCAGGCTCTTAGCCCTGTATCCCTGGCACAACCCCACTGAGCCTCGGTGCCAGACCTCTGGGTCTGGCTCACCAGGGGCACAGGTGGGAGGAAGCCCGGGTGTAAGAAAAGCCCTGAACAGCTATCAGTGGCTTTCTGCCCACAAAGGGGCAGGTAGGCTGCAGGGGGCCAAACAGGACCAGTGGGACCACTGCTTCCAGGTTCTGGTTGGATCTCAAGCATCAGGATGGTTGACTGGAGGAATTCTGTTTTTTCATACCTTAAC